GTCATAAGGTTTAGGGGCAGTGGGACGTTTCCCAGTATAGGCCTGATGACTAAGCAAAATAGCAAATACAAAAATGTAAATGAAGGAAACGTTCTGACATCCTGAAGTTGACCCATTTGAGCCAAGAGACAACAAAGATAATGCCATACGAAACCAAGTGTAAATGCCTGCCCAAATACATTCTCAAACCACCTCATGAGGTGCAAGACACGACTTGGCCAAATGCAAACGCATCTGGTAGTTCAGGCCACAAACATAAATTCACTCCTCCCAACCATCAGCATACGGAAGTTTGGGAGTCCCGCAATCCACACGCAGGCGAGGAATAAGAGATGAGGAACATCTTCGAATGCTAACCGCCATATCACTGGAAATTTGCATCATCACGGAAATTAATTGTGCGAATACAGTGTGGGAAAACGAAGCCTAGATTTATGTTTTGCATAGACACATTTATGTGGCCACGTGTAATTGACAACGGAGATACCCAAACAGATAACAATCCAATCAACAGCAATCCCAAATCTCTTGATACTTGGCGACCAGATCACTCCATATAATTAAACCATTTCAGTTCTTTGTGTAAAAATCCTGGCTTTGCCACAATGAAATACAGTGAAAAATGAGGAAAAACTAAGACTAAGAACTCTCAACAACTGAAAGCTGAGAGGAAGTGAGGAGGAGGTGGAACTAAAAAAAGATTCCAAAAAAAATTCATTTCTAAGAGAGAAACTAAAATACTACCACATATGTGCCTTTTTGATCTAAATATTTTAATGCGGTGAAAACATCTTTTTTGCGACCGTTTGCAATATGTTTTGTAATACATGTAAAAATCATTCTCAGTGCTGTGTGATGTGCGTGTACTTGCGCGCGCGCGAGCGTGTGTGTGTGTATTAGGTCGCCGCGCGCACAGACCGTGAGCTTGTTGTTCAGTCGAACAGCGCGTGGAATTACAGATTTTTGAATAAAACGGAAAACACAGCCGTACCTGACGCGTCCTAAAGACGTTAACGCAAACGTAGAGTATTTTTTCCTCGTCTTTTGATGTTTATCTCAACCATGGCTGCGTTAATGATTAGATTACATGCAGCAATGACTCCGCGAAAGTTTTGACTTTTATAACAGCAGTTATTGTTGGCTCTCCCAACGGATCCTTCAAGACTCGATCAAGGAATCAAGACTCGATTACGGAATCTCATGTAAACTTTATAAATGAAGATTAAAGGCACGCGCTTCTTCTCTTTGCCAAGCGTCGCACATGGGGTAAGTTAGTTTTCCCAGCAGCACTAAAATAACCATATCTCTAACTGAAGACAAATGTTCCTTGGTGTTACAATAGTTTCACGTCTCCATTCATTTCCATACCAGCGCGATAGACCTGTGTATTTTAATGACTAATGCAAATGTTTAAGACAGATGTGTGAGCCGTTCTCAAAATGCACACTTTAACATCAGTTCGTGATGTGTTTATTTGTCAACAGAGACACGTTTCTATCACCGTCAGCTCAGTCATTGATCTTTCTCGCATGCACTCATCTGATAAGGAGCTGCGCGGGATAGTCTTATCAAAGCTTTCGACACATGCATATTCCACTAGTGTCAGTTAAATAGATAAAGTGTGACACGCATATGTTTTGCATGTCTTACGAGAAAGTTTGCCCTCCGATGTAATGTGTAACATGCCTGCAGTTAAACATTGACCTGCATGATCCAGACTTGCTGGACTTCATGTGTATTGCAGCAGTTCTTAATTTGTCAACGGCGACGGGTTCTTGCTGAGCTCATAGCGCGCAGGGAGCTTTGCGACGTTTGTGGCCGTTGCAAAACCCACCGTGGGGATCGTGAGGATTTCTCCATCCGTCACTGGATAGATGGCATTGTTCTTAAAGGTTGTATTAATAAGACAAAAGACTCTATTATGGCATTACGCGGCTGGACGGAGTGCTCTGAGACTGGTGTCTCTTAAAGGGATAGTCCACCCCAAAATGAAAATTCTGTCTTCATTTACTTAATCCAACGTTTGCGTTGTCTTTTTTGGAACAAAATGTTTAGGGGATTTTTACTCAAAACCTACCAGATTTATCACTTTGTGATGAGTCTTAAATGGGCAGTTTACCCACAAATGCACATTCTGTCATCATTTACTCATCCTCATTTTGTTGTAAACCCGTATGACTTATGTGTCTGCGAAACACAAAACGTTGTGCCACTTTCATTGCATTTTTTTTTCCTGCAATAAAAGTGAGGCCTGGTTGTTCTGCCTTACATCACCTTTTGTGTTCCATGCAAGAAGGAAAGTCATATGGGTTTGAATCCTGATTCTTGATAACAGGGTTTTCGTAGTTATTTTTTGAATATCTTTGTTTAATCTCAAACATTATTCATGCTTGCACACATTCAGACCCACAAGAACCAGATGCGTTTTTATTGGACCTTGATTGTAAAAATAACTTCATAGTGTCCCTTTTTTTTGGTGCTCTATGAAAGGATAAAAAAGCATGCTGATTTTGCCAGAATGAGTGAATGATGACCGAATTTGCATTTTTGGGTAGACTAGCCCTTTAAGGTTTTTGTGTTGACTGTTTTATAATGAAATCAGACAATTGTACAGATGTAGGTCAGCTCTATTGTATATACTGATTTTTGTCTCCCTTGGAATCCAAAGCTACATAGAAAAGCCATTGCGCTGGCTTCTGAATTTAGGTCAAATATGAAATGCATCCGTCCCATTAGTCCAAAGTAATCATTCACTAACAGCACCTCTCTGAAGTACTGACTACCACAACTGTACATTCTCTCTAGGAAAAAAAGATTGTTGTGGTACACAATGCCTCCCTCTAAAAGATAAGCTGATATGTAAGAGGAAACGCTGATTATCACATTGAGAGCTGTCCATCCATTGTTCTCAAGTGTGGATGTGAAATGTGTTCGTGGCCACATTATTCTTCTAAAATCTCTAAATGAAATGATTGCATTATCTTGTCTGTTCTGTGACTGAGTGCTCTGCAGTTGCACATGGGAATTTCTGCATGCTTTTTAAAGGAGAGCTAACTAGTTATTGGATGGAAACAGCATTACTAAAATGGGGAAATTAAGCCGAGCAGGAATATCAGGTGTTGGATCTATTGATGGATGTTGAGAGAGCAGAGTTTCTTGTTTGGGATGTGGGGTCTACTCAGGTGATGGTGGGGTATAGTAAACAGTAGATTTTCATCACGCTGGGATCTGATCTGTAGACCGAGCTGATATGGGCAACATGTAGTCCACTTTGGCATCATGTGATGCCATGCTTCATTAAACCAGAACAAAACCAGCTACGCTGTCTCCTCTGACCACCACTGGCGTTCTTCATTCATGTTCACACTCTCAGCCCATGTCTACGTGAGAAAAGATTCAGCTGTGGTTTTTATTTAATCTTACCCACTGTGCCTTGAATAAAGGTTCTTTATTGGCATTGATGGTTCCTTGAAGAACCTGTAACATCCATGGAATCTTTCCATTGCACAAAAGGTTCTTTTATAGTGGAAAAAGTTTCTTTAGATTTTTTAAATGTTCTTCACACCAAGAAAAAATGGTTCTTTTGAGAATTGGTCATTGAAAAGTTCTTTGTGGAACCAAAAATGGTTCTTCTATGCAACTGCTGTGAAAACCTTTTTGGGACCTTTATTTTTAAGAGAGGCCAACATGGAATACCCAGGATTTTGTACTTTTCTTTTTGGATTTTGCAGGAAATCTATTGACCTCTGCAGAATGCATTACAAGAGTGATTACTGATAAACTGTCTAAAAAAAAGAAAGTCACATTTTAGAGAAGAAAACAAATCACCCACTGACTTTCAAAGCTGCCACATTCTACTTCGAGGACCTTGATAGAAATGTAGTGGAGTGAAAAGTACAATATTTGTCTTTCAAATGTAGTGAAGTTAAAGTCTTAAGTTCCCAGAAAAAATAATACTCAAGTAAAGTACAGATACTCAAAAAGTGTACTTAAGTACAATACTCAAGTAAATGTACTTAGTTACTGTCCACCTCTGGTAGTAGGTCACCAAAGCAAGATGATTTCATGTTGATTGTACAAAATTTGCAACTTAAGGCATAAGTCATAAGGTTTAGGGGCAGTGGGACGTTTCCCAGTATAGGCCAGATGACTAAGCAAAATAGCAAATACAAAAATGTAAATGAAGTAAACGTTCTGACATCCTGAAGTTGACCCATTTGAGCCAAGAGACAACATAGATAATGCCATACGAAACCAAGTGTAAATGCCTGCCCAAATACATTCTCAAACCACCTCATGAGGTGCAAGACACGACTTGGCCAAATGCAAACGCATCTGGTAGTTCAGGCCACAAACATAAATTCACTCCTCCCAACCATCAGCATACGGAAGTTTGGGAGTCCCGCAATCCACACGCAGGCGAGGAATAAGAGATGAGGAACATCTTCGAATGCTAACCGCCATATCACTGGAAATTTGCATCATCACGGAAATTAATTGTGCGAATACAGTGTGGGAAAACGAAGCCTAGATTTATGTTTTGCATAGACACATTTATGTGGCCACGTGTAATTGACAACGGAGATACCCAAACAGATAACAATCCAATCAACAGCAATCCCAAATCTCTTGATACTTGGCGACCAGATCACTCCATATAATTAAACCATTTCAGTTCTTTGTGTAAAAATCCTGGCTTTGCCACAATGAAATACAGTGAAAAATGAGGAAAAACTAAGACTAAGAACTCTCAACAACTGAAAGCTGAGAGGAAGTGAGGAGGAGGTGGAACTAAAAAAAGATTCCAAAAAAAATTCATTTCTAAGAGAGAAACTAAAATACTACCACATATGTGCCTTTTTGATCTAAATATTTTAATGCGGTGAAAACATCTTTTTTGCGACCGTTTGCAATATGTTTTGTAATACATGTAAAAATCATTCTCAGTGCTGTGTGATGTGCGTGTACTTGCGCGCGCGCGAGCGTGTGTGTGTGTATTAGGTCGCCGCGCGCACAGACCGTGAGCTTGTTGTTCAGTCGAACAGCGCGTGGAATTACAGATTTTTGAATAAAACGGAAAACACAGCCGTACCTGACGCGTCCTAAAGACGTTAACGCAAACGTAGAGTATTTTTTCCTCGTCTTTTGATGTTTATCTCAACCATGGCTGCGTTAATGATTAGATTACATGCAGCAATGACTCCGCGAAAGTTTTGACTTTTATAACAGCAGTTATTGTTGGCTCTCCCAACGGATCCTTCAAGACTCGATCAAGGAATCAAGACTCGATTACGGAATCTCATGTAAACTTTATAAATGAAGATTAAAGGCACGCGCTTCTTCTCTTTGCCAAGCGTCGCACATGGGGTAAGTTAGTTTTCCCAGCAGCACTAAAATAACCATATCTCTAACTGAAGACAAATGTTCCTTGGTGTTACAATAGTTTCACGTCTCCATTCATTTCCATACCAGCGCGATAGACCTGTGTATTTTAATGACTAATGCAAATGTTTAAGACAGATGTGTGAGCCGTTCTCAAAATGCACACTTTAACATCAGTTCGTGATGTGTTTATTTGTCAACAGAGACACGTTTCTATCACCGTCAGCTCAGTCATTGATCTTTCTCGCATGCACTCATCTGATAAGGAGCTGCGCGGGATAGTCTTATCAAAGCTTTCGACACATGCATATTCCACTAGTGTCAGTTAAATAGATAAAGTGTGACACGCATATGTTTTGCATGTCTTACGAGAAAGTTTGCCCTCCGATGTAATGTGTAACATGCCTGCAGTTAAACATTGACCTGCATGATCCAGACTTGCTGGACTTCATGTGTATTGCAGCAGTTCTTAATTTGTCAACGGCGACGGGTTCTTGCTGAGCTCATAGCGCGCAGGGAGCTTTGCGACGTTTGTGGCCGTTGCAAAACCCACCGTGGGGATCGTGAGGATTTCTCCATCCGTCACTGGATAGATGGCATTGTTCTTAAAGGTTGTATTAATAAGACAAAAGACTCTATTATGGCATTACGCGGCTGGACGGAGTGCTCTGAGACTGGTGTCTCTTAAAGGGATAGTCCACCCCAAAATGAAAATTCTGTCTTCATTTACTTAATCCAACGTTTGCGTTGTCTTTTTTGGAACAAAATGTTTAGGGGATTTTTACTCAAAACCTACCAGATTTATCACTTTGTGATGAGTCTTAAATGGGCAGTTTACCCACAAATGCACATTCTGTCATCATTTACTCATCCTCATTTTGTTGTAAACCCGTATGACTTATGTGTCTGCGAAACACAAAACGTTGTGCCACTTTCATTGCATTTTTTTTTCCTGCAATAAAAGTGAGGCCTGGTTGTTCTGCCTTACATCACCTTTTGTGTTCCATGCAAGAAGGAAAGTCATATGGGTTTGAATCCTGATTCTTGATAACAGGGTTTTCGTAGTTATTTTTTGAATATCTTTGTTTAATCTCAAACATTATTCATGCTTGCACACATTCAGACCCACAAGAACCAGATGCGTTTTTATTGGACCTTGATTGTAAAAATAACTTCATAGTGTCCCTTTTTTTTGGTGCTCTATGAAAGGATAAAAAAGCATGCTGATTTTGCCAGAATGAGTGAATGATGACCGAATTTGCATTTTTGGGTAGACTAGCCCTTTAAGGTTTTTGTGTTGACTGTTTTATAATGAAATCAGACAATTGTACAGATGTAGGTCAGCTCTATTGTATATACTGATTTTTGTCTCCCTTGGAATCCAAAGCTACATAGAAAAGCCATTGCGCTGGCTTCTGAATTTAGGTCAAATATGAAATGCATCCGTCCCATTAGTCCAAAGTAATCATTCACTAACAGCACCTCTCTGAAGTACTGACTACCACAACTGTACATTCTCTCTAGGAAAAAAAGATTGTTGTGGTACACAATGCCTCCCTCTAAAAGATAAGCTGATATGTAAGAGGAAACGCTGATTATCACATTGAGAGCTGTCCATCCATTGTTCTCAAGTGTGGATGTGAAATGTGTTCGTGGCCACATTATTCTTCTAAAATCTCTAAATGAAATGATTGCATTATCTTGTCTGTTCTGTGACTGAGTGCTCTGCAGTTGCACATGGGAATTTCTGCATGCTTTTTAAAGGAGAGCTAACTAGTTATTGGATGGAAACAGCATTACTAAAATGGGGAAATTAAGCCGAGCAGGAATATCAGGTGTTGGATCTATTGATGGATGTTGAGAGAGCAGAGTTTCTTGTTTGGGATGTGGGGTCTACTCAGGTGATGGTGGGGTATAGTAAACAGTAGATTTTCATCACGCTGGGATCTGATCTGTAGACCGAGCTGATATGGGCAACATGTAGTCCACTTTGGCATCATGTGATGCCATGCTTCATTAAACCAGAACAAAACCAGCTACGCTGTCTCCTCTGACCACCACTGGCGTTCTTCATTCATGTTCACACTCTCAGCCCATGTCTACGTGAGAAAAGATTCAGCTGTGGTTTTTATTTAATCTTACCCACTGTGCCTTGAATAAAGGTTCTTTATTGGCATTGATGGTTCCTTGAAGAACCTGTAACATCCATGGAATCTTTCCATTGCACAAAAGGTTCTTTTATAGTGGAAAAAGTTTCTTTAGATTTTTTAAATGTTCTTCACACCAAGAAAAAATGGTTCTTTTGAGAATTGGTCATTGAAAAGTTCTTTGTGGAACCAAAAATGGTTCTTCTATGCAACTGCTGTGAAAACCTTTTTGGGACCTTTATTTTTAAGAGAGGCCAACATGGAATACCCAGGATTTTGTACTTTTCTTTTTGGATTTTGCAGGAAATCTATTGACCTCTGCAGAATGCATTTTGAAGCTTATTAGCTGGTAGCAGAAAGCATGAGCAAATTAGCTGAAATATGTGAAGAGCTTTGTGAATGAATGTTCTAATTCCGTGGAAGTCTGCTGAGTTTTCCATGGAGCTCTGCGGGCACGGATTCAGTGTAGGCATAACTATGATTTATTGTCTCAGTCTGAGCCACTCATAGTTTTCTTTCAGAATTAATTTCAAACTTTCATGAAGCAGCAAAGGCTTTGCCTTCAGATATGAGTGGTGCTGTTCATTATTAGAGCCCGACCGATATATCGTTTTGCCGATATTATCGGCCGATATGAGCCTGTCATCGATATATCGTATCAGTGAATATGCCGCCAATATTTATTTTCTTTTACAGAACATATAACGCAGATAAAATGCTTGAAATGGTGTAATTACTTAGTTTGTCCAGCACTCCATTGTTTGCTACTGGCGACCTGGATGAAACGCTTTAAAACTTAAGTCTATGGAAAACCATTGAAACTTTGAACGGCCATATCTCTGTAATGCGTGGCGAATCCGCACCAAATTCGGGGGATCCCTTCAGCTCGAGGAACCCTCTCGAACATGATTTGAGTGTACGTCTAGAGGCCCGCTTTCGAATGAGACCACCCCCGTGTCGATAGGCCCCGGGGTTCGGGAGTTACGGGTGGTTAAATTTGCAGTCCGGCGCCGACCGATCAAGCAATCCCGGGGGGCGGCGTTCAAGAGGGCTCCTCGAGCTGAAGGGATCCCCCAAATTTGGTGGAGATCCGCCGGCGCGTTCGTGAGATAGTGACACCAGACAACACTTTCACTTCAGTAAGGAGGTCTCTTGTTCAGGCAGCAGCATTCAAGCGCTGTCTTATTCGACCGTAAGTGCCCTACGAAGTGGACTTCACATGATATTCCGCCATGATTCCAGTTCCAAGGGAACGTACACATTACATTCAAAAGGGCATTAAAGTGCGCGAGACGTGAATTTATATTGTATTTATTTACAGAGGTATATTATTTCACACTTCTCTAAGTAAGTTAGTTTTGTAAGTAACTTACTTCTTTAAGTAAGTTTTGTCTGTGTGTGAAGACAGTAGCGCAAATCCGTGAATGAAACTTCCGAAGTGAAATAAACTTCAAAGGAATAAAGTTGAATGGAATTTAATTTAATTAAAGTTGAATAAACTTCAACTTCACTGTTTAGTGCACTGATGTCAGACTCATTTTGGATAATAAAGTTTATTGTTAAATTGTTAAATGCCCTGCCTCCATTACGTATCTTTGTCACGTGTCATAATAAGTGTTTGATCACCACATTTGAGTGATCATAGCAAAAACTGTTTATGTGTATATATTCTGTTTATGTATATACTGTATTCTATAGATAGTACCAGTCAAATGTGTGGACACACGAATGGGAAAGTGTCCAAACTTTTGACTGGTACTGTACTATAATATACACAAAGAATATCGGCCGATATATCGATATCTGCCTTTTTTTACCCCCTAATATCGGTATCGGCCCTAAAAAAAAAAAACATATCGGTCGGGCTCTATTCATTATGCCAACATTTTTCGCCGTGGCTAAAGAGGTTGCACGCCGACTATCTGATTGCTACCTGATGGCTCTTTGTCCTGACCTTAAGTTCAACTCTGTCCCAGAAACACGTTTCAGAAGGAGGTTTGTTCCCCACGACTTGGCTCTGCATGCCCACACAGGTCACATACTGTATGTGCGTTCAGACGTCAGTGTGGAGGGATTGTGCATGAGAGGTGAATAAAAAAGTTAATAAATAAACGCTATCTAAGCAAACGGAAAGATAAATAAATGTTGCAGGCAGTGGTGGGAACTGGAAGTGTGGGATTTTTGGGCTTGGTCACTTGAGGGGTTAAGGGTAGGGCCAGGTCACAGTGTGGGCGGAGCGATCCCTCAAGGACTCTTGCGTTTAGCATTTTGGCAGCAGGCACAGAACCCTTGCAGCACATCCTGAGAGAGACTTTACTGAGGAAGACTGAATCCTTCATGTCAGGGAGGCAGAGAATTTAAAGCAATAGTCCACCCATCGATGAAATCACTTACTCATGCCGTTCCGAACCTGTATTACTTATTCTTCTGTGGAACACATAAAATTAATTTTTGAAGAATGTCCTGGTTGCTCTTTTTCCATAAAATCGAAGTGAATGAGGACTGGGGTTTTCAAGCTCCAAATTTGGCTTAAAAAATAATAATAAATAAAATAAGCACCATAAAAGTAGTCCATACGATTTATATAGTATACAAGCAACTCGTTCAGTTAAATTCATGAATATGTCATTCAGATTTTGTGAACAGATTCATTGAAAATATCTGACTTCAAAAGAATGAGTTGTTCACAAATCGGTGAGCTAATGTCAAGATTTCAGTCAGTATACTTTTAAAAATAAAGGCCCAAAAAGGGTGTTTTTGTAGTGATGCCATAGACAATAGGGTGTTACATTTTTAAGATTGGTATGTACATTACTGTGTTTTATTATGCTTTTGTGT